TGCATAAAAGTTATGTAAATGTGAAAGTGTTGTTTATCAATGCAAGTTATGACTTGGCATATTTCGAGTCGACTAGTAGGATGAGCGTTCAATGTTTTTTATACACACGAGAGTGTGAGTTGGGAGGGCATTGTTCACATTAAAGGGGTTGGGTTGGAGAGCGATCGAGTACATCCTTTACTCGCCAAATAAATGAGAGTTGAGTGTGTGAGCACTAGTCTTGAATTCTATATGCTCTTGTGGTTTGCTCTACTTGACAATTGTTGGGGAGGAAGGGTGATTAGATGAATAAGATTGATTGATGTTGAAGCATGTTCATTAGATTTGCCTTGAATCGTTGGTTTTGATTAGATGATTGGGGTGAAGTATGTTTTATATGTTCATTTGATGAGCTCTTTGCTTAGGGACAAGCAAAGGTTTGGCTTGGGGGAGTTTGATATGTCCATTTTATATAGTGTTTTACCCCCGTCCCTTGGTCGTTACTAGTAGTGTTTTTGGCTCTTTCGGGCCACTTTTATTACTAATTTGTGTGTTCTAGTGTTTTCGTAGTTTTAGTTGTATTTTACAGGAAATTGCACTCTTGGAGCATTTTCCCGGGCTTTATGGATTAACTACGGAAGCTAGAAGGACGCGACCACTTTTGGAGCCCAGGATCGGTGAGAGCCGGTGATTAAGGGATCCCGAGAAATCTAGCCCAATCGAAGTCCAAGCCTCAAGAGGAGCAAAGACCCGATCGGGCAACCTGTAGCCCGATCGGGCGCTGCAAACCATATTGATGTGCATGCTAAGGCGCGCCCGATCGTGCGAGCATCTAGCACGATCGTTCGATGCTGCTTGGGAAGGACGCGAAGAAAAAGGCGCGTTCGCCCGATCGGGCGCGCGTTTTTTAGAAGACCTGATGATGTTTAGTTTAAATTCTTGTTTTAGAAAACGTTTAAATACGATTTTTTACGGAAATTTTAGATTAACTTCTTTTTTAGATATGCTCTCTCTACTTAGGATCTTTTCTCTCTCTTAACTCTTCTCTCAACTCTTGGTCTTGATTATTTTCTATTAATACAGATTAGTTTGGTAACGATTTCTCTTCTCTTAATCTTATTTCCTTTCATCATGACTTATTTTATTGCTTTGATTAGTTTAATTTCTACTATGTGTGAGTAGTCTATTTCTAGGGTTTATGGGGATCCATTAATAATATGAAGGGGTAAATTGTGGTTGTTGATTATCAAAGCTAGATTAATTTCCTATTGATTGATTTAATGCTCTATGACTAGATTTGCACAGATTTTTTATGCATGAGTTTAACAATATTCGACAGATGAGAATTGATGTTTAGGTCTAGTTTCAATAGGCAGGTTAATTTATAAATGGTTAAGTCGAGATTCGAGAGATGAGATTTAATACCGGTAGATTAATTCTGTGATTTTATACGTAGCGAAAGCCCTTTACAATCTGGTAAATTGATGCATTGGTGATAGACTATTATTGATTATTGGTATTGCATGATAATTTCTTATTGAATTGTTTTAACGTTTTACAATTGGGGCTTGTAAAAGTATAGCAATATTAAATTGATGAATCGAGCAGATGTTAATTTGATATTAAAGGCTATTTTCAATAAGAACTTAGATCTAGTAAATTGCGAGAGCCTGTTAAATCTATGGTGATTAATAAATTGCGAGAGCTCGTTAATCATGTTATTTATGCAATGTCAATGATTGATTACTATGTTTTACCCTGGAGTATTATTTATTGGTGAACCTATGCCTTATATCCTTTTATATATTGTTTTCCCCTTATTCCTATTCCTTGTAGTTTAGTTTCATACTCAAATATAAATATTGGTTACTTAGATAATTTAGATTATAATAATTAATTAGGAGTAAAAAGACTTGTTTCCCTATGGAGATCAACCCTACTTCCCTATCTACTTTAGTTAGAGGATTTAGGTATTTACTTTTGATTAGGGGATACGACTTTACCCTGTCAGTAATTCGTTTATTTGGGTCATCTATACGTCTTGCTAGAAATGTTATAGAACTTTGGGTTAGTAAGTAACAAACCCAAAGCCCGCCTAAACGGATCCTACAAGGTCACACATTAGGATTGGATCAATAAAGAAACCCAAAGCCCAAAGTGGGCCTTAGGGTAACCGACCAAAAAGGGAAAGGGGAGAGAAAACCCTAACCTAATTAATAATAATATGATTATATATTAATTATTTAGGGATAATAAAAATATATTGTATTTATTTTTCTGAAAACAACGTAAGTTTTTCTCTCAATATTTTTCTCTCAAAAATTGGTTCTCAACTCCAAGAAAGGTGAAAGGTTTTTCCCGTTCAACTAGCATTGGTGGAGTGTTGATTTAATCCGGTGGACTAATTAGAGGAGTTACAATTGAGGCTCTTTATCTCCGGTAGAGAAGAATATTGCTAAGAGGATTCACGCTTCAAAGGTTAATTCTAAACTATTATGTGATCTTTATTTGTATATGCATGAGATCCTGTTTAGGTGCGTATGAATGTGATTCATGAAATTCCGTATAGAGTACCTAAAACCCTACAGTGGTATCAGTTAGCCCCTTGCATATAATTTACTGGTCACAATAATATGATTATTTTGATGTGTGAATTAGGCTAATTTTAATTTGATTAAGGGGAGGAATTGAATTATGGATTAAAATAACCTTATTACAATATGATTTTAATTGATTGGAATTGATTAAATTGTGAATTTAATTGCTCAATAGCCTCTAACCATATTTTTTTAAGAACCCTAAAGCCCCAAATTTTGGAATTTGATGGTTATGAACCATAATTTTTGATTTTAATTGTTAAATTTATATAATATAATCTATTTTTCATATTTAAAATTTTTTAGATATGATTAATTAATTCATGTAAAATTGGTTTTATATGAATTGGTAATTATTTTATATGAAAAGCCCTAAATTAATTAAAATGGAGATTTTGATTAATTTTTTCTGAAATTATGCATAAAGGAGTTTGTGTTTAATTATAATTAGATCTCCGAAATTAATTTTGCAAAAGTTGTGAAATTAATTTAACTCAAACAACAACAAAAAAAAAATTTAAAGCTTGAAGGGGAGCAACCACGGCTGGGTGGCAGAACCACCTCATGGTGGGCCACGGTGGCTGCTCCGGTGGTCGGAAATGGGGGACGGGCGGCAGGGGAGTCGGTGTTGGGCAAGAGCAGAGGTGAACCTGCAACTGTTGCACGGTTTCAGCTCTGCTCGAGCTGATTGGCGTGCTAGGCAGCTGCCTGGTGCGCCAGCCAGCGCTGCTGTGGCTGGGCGTTTGCCTAGCTGCTGCGGTGGCTTGGCTCCGGCCTGGCTGCTGCAGCAGCTGTGACGTGGCTGGGCAACAAGCTTAGTCACGGAAGCTCTGTTTTTCATTTAAAAAAAATAAAAAAATTTATAAAAATAAATAAAAAAAATTCTGATTTATTTATTTTGGATAATATTGAAAAACTGATTTTAAGGGGATATTGAGCAATTCCAATTAAGGTTGTTTTGAATTGATTATAAGATAATTACATAATTTGATTTTTTTATCTAATTAAAATTAGTTGGTTAGCTTATTTTTAAGATAAAATCTTTTAGGTGGTTAGGATTTCAGTTTATCAAATATGATTTATATTCTAGGATTTCCTAATTAATTGATTTATCCTCTTGACATAATTAAGAATATATGATATTTTGATTATTGGCAAGTATAATATGTGATATTATTATGTGGCATCTTTATATATATGATATATTATTGCTATAAATGACTAGTATGGCCCTAGATTTAAATTATAAATACGATCTGTGTATCGTTATGTATTTTTATAATTTAAATACGATCTGTGTATCGTTAAGTATTTTTGTAATTTTATTTAATTAGGAATTAGTTTAATTATTTAAATTCTTAATTAATCCAAAGAAGAGCCCAGATGAGAAGGTCCATGATGAAGGTGGATGGAGATCCATGAAGAGTCCAAGGAGTTGCCCATTAAAGCTTAGTTCTTAGGATTAGGGGCCATACTAGCTCATATTTAATTTTGAATTTTATTATTATTCTTAAAATGCTTATAAGTTTATTGTATGTATGTTATCAATGCGCTAGAGTTAACTAATTAATAACGACATAATAAACTTAGGTCCCGCTAATGTTGAGGTTTTCTTTTCCAAATATAAAGTACTTATTAACCCTTAATTAATAGTAATAGGTCATGCCTCCGCAGGGTATTGTTATTAATTTTGGGAAGTGAGGTGAAATTGCGAATTTTGCGCACCTAATTTGGTTAACCTCAACAAAATCATCAAAAGCTTTTTGGATTTTAAAGCAAAGGGACATTTAAGCATGAGATGTTTTTCTGTCTAACCAAGAATTACAAATGTTGTAATTAGTAAAGAGTTTACTTACCTTGAAAATGTAATTTTAAGAAAAAGTCTCTGTCTGCTTAACGTTGCATATTGATAGGATCTTGGAATCACTTATTCAAATAGGGACATTAAAATTGAATAGAGTGCTAAGTAACCTAGAAACTATTGCATGTTTTAGGTGCTTTTATAAACATAAATTGAACTTTGCCTTTTTCTGTCTGTAGATATCATGACTAATAACAACAACAACTCGATTTTTAGCGTCCGTCCCTTCCTTGAGAAGGATAGGCTGAACGGAGAAAACTTCATCAATTAGGAAAGGACTCTAAGACTTCTTTTAAAGTTTTGAGGGTAGAGAGGATGTCTTAGAAAACCCACTTCCAGTAGTGACTGATGAATCATCTGATGTTGATAAACGTCGTGCTTAGAAAGCTAATGATACGTCTACTCCAATCACTTGCTTCATGGTGGCGGCTATGGAACTGGACCTCCAAAGGAGGTTTGAGACCAAAGATGCTTACACCATTATGCAAGAGCTTAAGGCCATGTTTTAGAAACAGGCCAGGATTGAGAGATATGAGATTAATAAGGAGATTTTGGAATGCAAGATGGAAAATGGTGAATCTGTTCGCCAACATGCTTTCAAAATGATAGGTCTTTTTGAAAGCATGAAACGTCTTGGATTCCCTTATAGCCAACAGTTGGCTACTGATATCATTCTCCATTCATTGCCTGACAGCTTTAATCAGTTTAGGATGACTTTCAACATGAATGAGTCTGAAAAGACTATGACTCAATTGCATGGGATGCTTGTCAATGCTGAAAGGAACATTCCCAAAGAACCAAAGAAAGAGGTTTTGATGGTTCAAAAGGGAAAGGGTTTCAAAAAGAAGGGGGCAGGCAAGAAAAACAAAGGCAAGCAAGTTGTCAAAGTTTCTGAAAAGCTTAAGCAGACCGCTAAACCAAAAGTTGTTGAAGCAAATGTTTCTACTGTGAAAAGATAGGTCATTGGAAGAGAAACTTCCCCAAGTACTTGGAGGATAAGAAGTCAGGTACTTCTACTTCAGGTATTTATGTTATAGAAGTTAAATTGACTTCTACTTCTTTATGGGTATTTGATACCGGTTGTGGTTCTCACATAGTTAATGATGTGCAAGGACTAAAAAGAAGTAGAAAACTAGCAAAAGGCGAGGTTGGGCTTCGCGTCGGAAATGGAGCAAGAGTTGCTGCACTTGCCGTCGAAAGTTATAGTCTACATTTACTGTCTGGATTAATTTTAGAACTTAATAATTTTTATTTCATTCCGTCAATTACTAAGAACGTTATTTATGTTTCTATTTTGGATCATGAAGGTTTTTGTTTTGAGATTAAGAACAAATGTTGTTCCATTTCTTACAATAACATGTTCTATGCTAGTGAAAAATTGATTAATGGCTTATATGTACTTGATAGGACAGTACAAGTCTATAACATAAATAGCAAGAAACAAAAGTCAAATGATTTAAACCAACATATCTATGGAATTTCCGGACGGGTCATATAAACCAAAAGCGCATCCAAAAGTTACAAAAGGATAGAATCCTTACATTATTCGATTATGAATCATTTGATGTATGTGAATCATGCTTGTTGGGGAAAATGACAAAGTCACCTTTTACTGGAAAGGGTGAAAGAGCCAATGATCTCTTGGCACTTATACACACAAATATTTGTGGGCCTATGAGTTCAAAGGCAAGAGGTGGGTTTAGTTACTTCATCACTTTTACTAATGATTTAAGTCGATATGGGTATATCTACTTATTGAAGCATAAGTCGGAATCATTTGAAAAGTTCAAAGAATTCCAAAATGAAGTACAGAATCAACTTGGTAAAACAATAAAAGCATTACGATCCGATCGTGGTGGCGAATATTTGACCCAAGAATTCGATAATCATCTAAAGGATTGTGGAATAGTTTCACAGTTGACTCCTCCAGGGACGCCACAGTTAAACGGTGTGTCTGAAAGGAGGAATCGAACTTTACTGGATATGGTTCGATCAATGATGAGTCTTGCTGATCTTCTAATTTCTTTTTAGGGATATGCTCTAGAAACAGCTGCACACACACACTAAATAGAAGCCCGTCAAAGGCTGTAGAAAAGACTCCATATGAGATGTGGAATGGAAAAGTTCCAAACTTATCTTTTCTTAAAATCTGGGGTTGTAAAACGTTTACTGTCAGACAAACTTGCACCCAAATCAGATAATTGTCTCTTTGTGGGATACCCAAAGGAGACAAGGGGTTACTACTTCTATAACCGTCAACAGAACAAAGTGTTTGTTGCTCGTGCTGGTGTCTTTCTTGAAAAGGAGTTTATTTCCAGAAAGACAAGTGGGAGTAAAATAGTTCTCGAAGAAATTCAAGATGAGAAACAAATGGATTGGATCAAACCACGTCAGAGGCGAGGGCGCATGACTCTGCTATGAAAAGTCAAGTGTTGGAGAAAGCTGATTCATTAAGAGAAACTCCTATCGTCCCACTTTAATCTAATTCATGCGAAAATCTTCAAGAGGTTGAAGAGAATATTTCTATTGATGCTCAAGCCCCACGCAGGTCGAGTAGAACAAGGATTCCAAACAAGCAGTTGGTTGATTTCCTGTTAACAGAAGACTCTGAAATATTGATTTTGGAAAATTCTGAACCTACTACCTACAAACAAGCTTTGACGAGCCCAGAATTTAAGAAATGGCTTGAGGCCATGAAATCTGAAATGGAATCCATGTCTAAGAACAAAGTTTGGACCCTAATCGACTTGCCTGATGGGGTTAAACATATTGGATGCAAGTGGGTGTTCAAAATAAAAACAGACAAGAATGGAAATGTCTATATCTATAAAGCAAGACTGGTTGCAAAAGGATTCAAACAAATACATGGTATAGACTATGATGAAACCTTTTCCCTAGTGGCAAAGATTAAGTCAATTCGAATACTTTTGGCGATTGCTGCACATTACAATTATGAAATTTGGAAGATGGATGTCAAAACCGCCTTCTTGAATGGGTTCTTGATGGAGGATGTGTACATGACACAACCTGAGGGTTTTGAGGATCCAGAAAATCCCAAAAGAGTTTGCAAGCTTCAGAGATCCATTTATAGATTGAAGCAAGCGTCTCGGAGTTGGAATCTTTGATTTGATGAGGCAATCAAGCAGTTTGGTTCTCCCAAGAGTGAAGAAGAATCTTGTGTCTATAAGAAATTTAGTGGGAGTACCTTAGTCTTCTTGGTTTTGTATGTAAATGACATATTATTCATAGGAAATGACATACCAATGCTTGAGTCGGTCAAGGAATGGTTGAGAAGTTATTTTTCCATGAAACACCTTGGAGAAGCTGAGTACATTTCGGGAATCAAAATCCATAAAGATAGGTCTCGAAGGATGCTTGGACTGAGCCAAGAGACTTATATTGATAAGGTTCTTGCAAGGTTCAATATGGAAAACTCTAAGAGAGGATTCATTCCCATGTCACATGGCATTTCTCTTAGCAAGAGTTAGTGCCCATCGGAGCCTGATGAGTTGAAGCAAATGAGTAGCATACCTTACTCCTCGGCTATATGTTCTATTATGTATGCCATGATATGCATTCGACCAGATGTTGCATTTTCTCTTAGCTTATGTAGCAGATTCCAAGCAAATCCAGGTGAAGCACACTGGACTGCGGCTAAGAACATCCTAAAGTACTTGAGAAGGACTAAAGGAATGTTTTTGGTCTATGGAGGAGTAGATGAGTTGATTGTTAAAGGTTATACTGATGCAAGTTTACAGACCGACAGAGATGATTACCGCTCGCAATCAAGGTACATCTTTTGTCTGAATGGAGCAGCAGCGAGCTGGAAGAGTTTAAAGCAAGGCACTGTAGCAGACTCTATGACAAAATCAGAATATTTAGCGGCGATAGAAGCAGCTAAGGAAGCTGTTTGGATAAAAAAGTTCCTAACAGAGCTAGGGATCGTACCTAGTGTTCTAGAAGGAATTGAGTTGTTTTGTGATAATAATGGAGCTATTGCGCAAGGAAAAGAACCAAGATCAAACAACAAATCCAAGCATGTAATGAGGAAGTATTACCTCACTCGCGAGATTGTAGACGGGAATGATGTCAAGATCTGCAAAGTTCACACGGATGAGAATGTTGCTGATCCACTCACTAAACCTCTCCCTTAACCCAAGCATGAACGTCACGCTAGGGCTGTAGGGTTGAAGCAAGTGTTAGAATGACTTTAAATTGTTTTTGTTTAGAGAAACTTGTTACAATTTAAAGACATGATTTTCATGTTTTATGTTTATATAGTATGAAATTTTTCATCTGAATTAATTTTGGTTTAGTATTAAATAAAATGTCCAATATATTTATTGAATTTAATGGGCTTGCCAAATACGTGATTTGAAGAATGATACCCCATAAGTGAACTGAATTCATGAAATATTTAAGTTCCTAATCTGAGTTGTTAATTTGGACATAAATGACTCAATAAAAGGATTAGCATATAAGATTGATTGATAGTGTCGTTTCATGCGCTATGGAAACATGGAGATGTTTAGTCATGAGTGGAACACTACTCAATTCAATGATTAGTGGATTCCTTAGACATGAGTGGAACACTACTCAATTCAATGATTAGTGTAACCTTGATGTTGTCTGATAGGCGTGCCGCGTACCTAACAAAAATAAACCTAACTAGACCACTACTATGTAGACGGGCAAGTAAGGGTCGGATCCCAAGAGACTATGGTTCAACTAATTAAATAGAGTCAAGTAAATACTAAGCAAGTAACAAAATCAAATAATTGAGAATTAATAACTAAATATCAAGAGCGACGATTAAACTAAAAAAAATGATAATCAAATACTAAAAACATCCAAGATCAAGCATTACCACGAATACAATTAATGCAATAATAGTTCTACCCCTAACATATAATTCAATTGATTAAAGAGGAAAAGTAATCCCTAAATAGTACCAATGGTCTCTCTCGAGTTATCAATGGCTTCTCTAATCACAATCAAGCCTACTTCCGTGGAATCATGTAAATTAAAGACCTTGAGCACATTACTCTAACTTCCTAATCATCCATTCAACTACTCCCGTGATGAACTTCAAACCCTTAATTGATTTATTCAAACCCGTCAAAACCCAACTCCTGTTGCGATTAAAAAAATGGATTAATAACAATACCAATTATCCCTAATCTAGTATTGGCATGAGCACAATCAATTAAGCATATCCATTGCAATCATCATTAGAGAATTTAAAGAATTAAATCAAGCATTAATCATATTCGGGTTCCGCTAGATCTTGGAATAGGGAAACTACTCACACATATTAATGAAATCAAGAATAATAATCAATAAAGAAAACATAATTAACAATAATAAAATAAGAGAATTGAGAGAAGAAATCAATACTTGGAATTAATTATGAAATCTTGAATCTTGAAAGCAAAACCCTAGAAAATAATATGGAAGAACGTAATACCCAAAAAGAAGTCTAAAATAATATCTAAAAAAGTGATAAAGTGATAAATAAAAGATTATCTAAAACCTATTTATATCTAAGCATAAAATTAGATATTTTTATCTAAATAGGACTCTCAAACGCCACCGAAACGAGCTGCCACAGGTAGTTGTGGCACGAAGAAACCGCCACAACCAGGGTGTGGAGCGGGCTGCTGTAGACACCCATTTGTGTCTCCCCAAAACCAAACCCAGTGATCAGTACCTTTCGTGTCGAATCATAATCAAATGAAGCGAAAGTGTGGAAAGTCTAGTGTTGCGGATAAGTTTTAATTTCTTTTCTCTTCTCTCTGTTTTTGAAAATTTATTTTAAGAAAACAGCCAATCCAGTTTGGTTGGTCCATGATATGGGACCAATAATAGTTTGGTTGGTCCATGAAAAATTTTCAGAGTTTTAATTAAAATCAAAACGCGTTTTTGAGGAAAAGATACGATTTTGTCCTCCAGTACGGCAAACTTATCTAATTTTCAAAAACGCGTCAAAAACAGGCCTAGCGTCTGACTCTAGGCATTGGCGCCTGGAACCAGGCCTGGCGCCTGGCGCCAGCCATTGGCGCATGGTGCTAGCCATTGGCACCTGGTGCTAATCAGCTGGTGCTGGCGCCAGCTCTGTTTTACGTGCGCCAAGTGCTCTGTTTTGGTATTTTATCTTTTTGGCTGATTTTCTCTATAAATAACATATTAAAAACTTCATTTTCATACACCTACAATTAGTTTTCATTCGCAATCATTAATTCTCTAATTCTCTCTTAATCATTCACCAATTCTCATCAAGTTTTCTTGATTATTTCATCTCTCTCTTTTCTAAAATTGCTTTTCACATACAAAATTCCGCATTCACAAGATCTAGAAACACCTAGCCAAGTTCGAAGTTGCCTTCGCCCTAGACGTGAAAGGTTTAATTTCTGAGGGTTTGGTCCGAAATCTCTATTTCAATTATTTAATTTAATTGTTTTGTTTATTATTTTCCTTGAAGTTACTAATGTGTGTATTTTGTAATTAGAAAGAGATACGAGGCATCAAAGTAAGTACTTTAATTGTTTTTATTGATATTATGATGTAGAAATCATGTTTACATTGTTATTATGATATTTTCTAGGGTAATTTTAATATTAAATATGATTGTTACGATGCTTCTTATGTTTTTCCTAATATTTATGATTGTTAGTATCATGTTAGGGTTAAATATTTGATTTTTATATGCTTAGTGACATGCTAGGGTTTGTTTTTAATCTTGTTAGTATCATGCCTAGGATCTTGCTATTATTATTATGCTTTAATATTAACATGAACATGATTATGATTATAATTGTTATGATTTATGAAGATTATGAATATTATTATTATTATTTTATGATGATGATTTTATGATGATTATTTTGATATGATTATTATTATGATTATTATTTATTATTATCATGATTATTTCAATTATAATTTATTTTTATGATGATGATATCTATTATTTTATTGTGTTGCTTGATATTTTTTTTATTGCTTGATCGCACTTTTTATGCATGTTTAAAGGGAATCTGTACTTGTAATCACGCTTAATAAGATAATTAGTAATCTTGTTAGGGTTAATTTGATTATAATTTCAAGTGATCGCCAATAATAGATTTATTTGTGCATTAATATTCAACCAACATAGATAAACATGTTTAGGGTTAATCCTATTGATTGCATGTTAATTAGAAAGCGCACATGAATACGATCAGAATAAAATAGAGGCCTATTATTAGGGCAGGTTCAATCTCTTTTAGGTTGGATTTGTACCTTCATCCCCAAACCCTTATTTGGTTCTAGACCTTATGGAGTTGACGATCTCTTGGATCGTTAAGGGGTGTAACCTTCACCCTGTGAACGGTTTACAAGTTCCTAAAAAACTTGTTGGCGACTCTTTTGCTCTATCTTCTTCCCATTTGGACGCCACCGTACTTTAGTGTATGATCACAGTCGGGTTCAAGCTAGGGGTTAATGCTTGAAATTTATTCCCTACAGTTTTTGGCGACTCTTCTGGGGAGGATTTCTATTTAATTCCTGAATTTGTTTCGGCAATGATTTAGAATAAGTGGATGATACTCGAAACGTTCTAAGTATTTGATGTGCGTAATTCTCATTAACATTATTTTCATATGCATAAAAAAGATCTCATTGGAAAGACCATTCGTAATGAGTTAAAAACATAGGATTTTACACGTAGGAAATTTGAGAAATATCTTTCACAACTAGGACTGAAATAACACCGCGCGAAACTGGAAAATTTTATCGAGCACAGAAAGCTGCTGAGGCATGTGGGAAGTAGCGTCAGGTGCCAGAGCTTGACACCAGCACTTTAGTCGTAGCGCCAGACGCTAGTATTGGCGCCAGATGCTACAGTTAAAAGCTGGCGCCAGTCTCTGATTGTTGGCGCCAATTTCCCCCAATACCGAGCTAGAAATATGCGTTCTAATTTCGACCGGTTTTTCGTATTGTTTGCTCGATCCTACTTCCTGATTGAATTTTTTCTCACTTTTCTGAAACCCATATGTGTTCTACATATAGACATAACCTTCTGGGAATTCATGCTCCATCTATTTCTTTTTTATTTACTCTTTCCCCAATAAGTCTAACATATGCACCTTTTCTTTTCCCTTAGATTAATTTTGTAGATTCTTTCTTTTCCCTTTTCTTTTAATAAAAATGAGCATTTATTTCCTTATATATGATCATTTCATTATATTGCATTAAAAAAAATTTTAAAAAAAAACAAAAAAAAAATCCATGTCGAATTAAGCACAAGGTATACCAATTATTTGAGGCACCCCTTGTAGCTACATCATATCTCATTTCACCCTTCAATTATACATCCTTTCTTCATAAACCACTTTGAGCCTCGTCTAACAATAGACTTTTCTTTTTTCAACATACATCTACCTAACCTTGGGATGGGATGGTGTGCAACTTTTGCAATTCTAAAGAAAGCTTGAGCAAATTCAAAAAATTAAAATATTAAAATAAGCAAAAATAAATAAATAAAGTGTACAAAAGGGTAAGTGTTCCAATGTCTTTGATATGAAAATATCTTCGATAAGAACACGTCTCAGATTGCGTCTCTTATCGAATGCTCGATACCGTGCCTAAGAAACATGAATGCCAAGTGAGTGATAGACCGCATGATCGGGATTTCCCACACTTATTAAAATAAAATAGATGCTAAAGCAAAAGAAAAATCTAAAAAAGAGTAGAAAACCTCAAGCATGAAAATACAAAGATTCAAAAGCGAGGTTGCACACCTTGGGGGCTTATCTAGGGTTTTGAGCCTTTATCCCCTTCTTCTTCAAACCTTTAGCCTAACCATGTTACAACCCTTAAAAAGAACTTTTTGAGGTATACACACTTGTGCGAGGTTCGGCTAGAGCTACGTTCGGCCTGATTCCTAACAGATACGTAGGCAACCTCACATTGAGGTGCGGCCGTAATAAACATACATTCATATTCACATTCACACACTTACACCATGATCATATCAAGGGATCTACTATGCTCATCCCTATTCATGTAGAGCTAGACTTGGGGGCTTGATCCTTACATCATTAGCTTACCTAGTCTAAGAGTCACCGTCATTTGACTCTTTTAACAAACAATATTTTCCCACACACTTAGCCCTTGTGGCCTAGCTTTACTGTCACTATCACACACACCGAACAGATACATGACCAAATATATTTCCCTTAGGAACCCTTTATCATGAAATCTTAGCGCATAAAGCATGCCTTGTCAACATCACTCATCAGTCATAATTGTCATTGCATCACATTGAAGTATGAAGTGCTTAGCCTCCGTGCCTAAGTTACCCAAATACTTTCATCATTGAGTCAACCATTGAGATAGCCTAGGATGGATTAATCCTTGCACCTTGAGAGATAGTATCAAACAAAATTTAACCAAGCTCATTCAACATGCACCTTCAAAAACTTCACTTCAATTTCTTTTTGCGTCTTTCTTTTTTCGGGAGAAAGTCGGTACCCTCCACAAAAATGACGGAAAATTTTTGCTTTTTGCATTTTCGAGTCGCACGATCACATTACAATGCACACATGGGTCACGAGTCACATGTGTCGTTTCACTTCGAGTTGAGTCAACCTCGATTCAGTCGATCACAGCGAGATAAGTTTACGCCTTGAGTCGTGTCAAGTCAATGAGTCAAGCGATGCTAAACCTTAGGTCAACCCTAAGATTATTAAAGAGATTGGCAAATTTCTATAGTCAAAATAAATACAGGTGTAGCAGAATAGGGAGGACCCTACTCTAGCGCCTGGCGCTAAATCTTTCCGGGACATGTGCATCCTCTTCCATCTCCATCACAACAAAGTCACATGGGATAAAGAATTTTCCCACACGAAGAGGAACATCTTCAAGTATACCCTAGGGAAATTTAACTGACCAATCTGCAAGTTGTAGAGACATGTGTGTAGGCTTTAATTCACCCATTTGAAGTTTCTTGCAGATAGAGAGCAGCATGAGACTCACAATTGCACCAAGATCACATAATTCCTTGTTGATCTCTATATCCCCAAGCTTCACTGGAATTGAGTAGCTACCCGGATCACCTAATTTCTTAGGAAGTGTATTTTGCAAAATAGCACTACACTATGCATTCAACGCAACAGTAGCATTCTCCTCTAGCTACTTCTTGTTAGAGAGTATACCCTTCAAAATTTTTGCATAAGATGGCATCTCGGATATTGCATCTAAGAACGGAATGTTGATGTGAAGCTTCTTCAAAATATCAAGAAATTTTCATACATCTTCTCTAACTTAGCTTGAGCCAACCTTTGCGGGAAAGGAACTTGCGGTACATATGGAATAAGTGGTGGTGGAGTTGATGCCCTTGGCTCTTCCTCAATTGCAGTACCATCGACCACCTTCTCTTTTGGGACTACCTCATCAGCAACCTCCTTGGATGGCTCCCTCGTGGGAGGATCTTCCAACTGCTTTCCACTTCTCAAAGTCACAGCATTCATCTGTCCTTTCGGTGGTTGCTCTGTTTGACACGGAAAAACGCCCGGAGTCTTGAAAGATTGGCCAACTTGATGAGCAAGTTGACTTATTTGATTTTCCATGAGCTTGTTCTGAGCTTGTAGTTGTTGGATGTTGTTGTTCGTTGTGGTAACGAAGTTCTCAAGCATTAGCTCAAGGTTGGATTTTTGTGGAGGTGGTTGCATAGGTTGTGGGACTAAAGGTGGTCTTACTTGGAAACCGGGTGGAGCATTATAATTTTTGTTTCAAGGTGGTGGTGGAGGTGGATTTTGTTGAGCTTGGGTATTCTTGTAAGAGAAATTTGGATGATGTTTCCAACCTTCATTGTATGTGTTTGAGTGAGGATCATATGGCCTTTTGGGATTTGAAGTGTAGAATGCATTGGCTTCCTCAATCGACATCTCATGTGAATTTTGTGGGCAACCAGGGGCAATGTGACCTTGTACATTACACATTTGACAAGTTTTAGCAGATGAGCCAGAAGATGTTGCTTGGAACTTGTCAAACTTGCTTGTCAATGCCTGCATAGAGCTAGTTAAAAGGGTTAGAGCATCAACATCATGCATACCTCCCTTTTTAACACTACGTCGTCCTCCTGGGTGGTAATTATCATTTGTTGTCATCTTCTCAATTAGCTACTTTGCCTCAGTTGGGTTCTTAGTCAAGAGAGAACCCCAGATGCAGCATCAATATAGATTCGGAATTCATGAGTTAAACCATTGTAAAAGGTTTGGATCAACATCTATTCAAGAATACCATGGTGAGGGCATTGTCTTTGCAATCGCTTGAACCTCCTCCATGCTTCATATAAGGACTCATCATCTGACTGCCTGAAAGTAAATAGCTCATTTCTCAACCTTGCAGTCTTTTCCTATCCCAAGAACTTGACTAGAAAAGCTTTCACCAGTTTGTCCCATGTGTCCAAAGAGCCAGTACCTTCATCTCTCAACCATTCCTTCACTCTATCCCGTAATGAGAAAGGGAAAAGGCGAAGTCTAATAGCATCATCTGTAACGCCATTTAGTTTCGTAGTATCGCACTTTTCTAAGAAACTATCAATATGACTGACAGAGCACTCATGAGGTGTGCCTACAAACGAATCATTTGAGATGAATTGAATGAAATGTGGTTTCAATTCAAAGTTCTGAGCAGTAACAGGTGGTCTGAAAATGCTGAAGAGGAGTCCGGTTGTGGTATCAGGAATATCATACTCCAAAAGAGACTTTGTTCCTAGATCGACCATGTTTCTATGGTTTTGATTTCTCCTTCTTCTTCTACCTCCTCGTCTCCTTGTTGTTGCTTCAATTTCACAATCAAATGGAATTAAATCGTCTGACCCTAAACGTCGAGTTTGCATGCAACAAAGAACTAAAAGCAAAGAAATCAAAAACACAAGAGACAATAGCTGAAGCAACAAATAAAGCTTAGTAAAAACGAATCACAAATAACTAGTGTAAAACCGTTAGTCCCCGACAACGGCGCCAAAATTTGATAGGCGTGTCGCGTACCTAAAAAAAAATAAACCTAACTAAACCACTACTATGTAGACGGGCAAGTAATTGTCGGATCCCAAGAGACTATGGTTCAACTAATTAAATAGACTCAAGTAAATACTAAGCAAGCAACCAAATCAAATAATTGAGAATTAATAACTAAATATTAAGAGCGACGATTAAACTAAGAAAAAAATGATAATCAAATACTAAAAACATCCAAGATCAAGCATTACCACGAATACAATTAATGCAATAATAGTTCTACCCCTAACATATAATTCAATTGATTAAAGAGGAAAAGTAATCCCTAAATAGTACCAATGGTCTCTCCCGAGTTATCAATGGCTTCTCTAATCACAATCAAGCCTACTTCCGTGGAATCATGTAAATTAAAGACCTTGAGCACATTACTCTAACTTCCTAATCATCCATTCAACTACTCCCGTGATGAACTTCAAACCCTTAATTGATTTATTCAAACCCGTCAAAACCCAACTCCCGTTGCGATTAAAACAATGGATTAATAACAATACCAATTATCCCTAATCTAGTATTGGCATGAGCAAAATCAATTAAGCATATCAATTGCAACCATCATTAGAGAATTTAAAGAATTAAATCAAGCATTAATCATATTTGGGTTCCGCTAGATCTTGGAATAGGGAAACTACTCACACATATTAATGAAATCAAGAATAATAATCAATAAAGAAAACATAATTAACAATAATAAAATAAGAGAATTGAGAGAAGAAATCAATACTTGAAATTAATTATGAAATCTTGAATCTTGAAAGCAAAACCCTGGAAAATAATATGGAAGAACGTAATACCCAAAAAGAATTCTAAAATAATATCTGAAAAAGTGATAAATTGATAATAAAAGATTATCTAAAACCTATTTATATCCTAGAATAAAAGTAGATATTTTTATCTAAATAGGACTTTCAAACGCCACCGAAACGAGCTGCCACAGGTAGGTTATGGCACGAAGAAAACCGCCACAACCAGGGTGTGGAGCGGGCTGCCTTCGCCTCTCCCTTGCTCCAATATAGACGCCCACAACCAGGTTGTGGCCAACAGATTGCACGCCACAACCGAGTTGTGGAGTAGGCTGCCTAAATGCTTCATTGATGCTCCATTGGTGCTAGAAACGCTCCATATAAAGAAATATCTCGCGATTAAAACAAATTCCACGCAAATCGAGCCATATTCCTATAAAAACAAAAACAAACAAACCGAGAAGAGCAATATCGAAATAGGAAGAATAATAGCTCAAAAAGATTAAGAGAATGAAGAAAACACAATAAAACATGACCAAATATCACATATAAATCGTGTATAATATCGTGTTATCATTGTCAAACGTCATGCCGTAAAAGGGGACTATAAAAGCGACACTCGTGTTGTGCTAAAAGTTGAGCGGGAGTTTTGGTTGCCACAAGATTGAATATGTCCTCCTACGTTAGATAGGATAGGTGCCTTGGCCTCTTGAAGAGTAAGAATTGAAAATGCATGGCCGTGCTCAAATGGATCAGAAGAAGATCATTTGCTTAGCAATTCAAACTCGGATTTCAAGAAATAATTTGAACGCTAGTATGGATAGCATAGAGATGTGATAATACTATCAAATTAGACACTAAGAGACTTAAGGAATTTTAATATTGCATACTTGTCTCGGACAAGTAGGAGATTGAAGGAAATGTGTCCTCGACTTTAGTGAAATTACTTAATATAATTATGGATCGTATTATGGAGATAGTAATTCGTTTATTTGGGTCGTCTATACGTCTTGCTAGAGAATGATATAGAACTTTGGGTTAGTAAGTAACAAACCCGAAGCCCGCCTAAACAGATCCTACAAGGTCACACATTAGGATTGGATCAATAAAGAAACTGAAGCCCAAAGTGGGCCTTAGGGTGACCGGCCAAAAAGGGAAAGGGGAGAGAAAACCCTAACCTAATTAATAATAATATGATTATATATTAATTAGTTAGGGATAATAAAAATATATTGTATTCAATTTTCTGAAAACAACGTAAGTTTTTCTCTCAATATTTTTCTCTCTAAAATTGGTTCTCAGCTCCAAGAAAGGTGAAAGGTTTTTCCCGTCCACTAGCATTGTGGAGTGTTGATTCAATCTGGTGGACTAAATAGAGGAGTTACAATTGAGGCTCTTTATCTCCGGTAAAGAAGAAGATTGCTAAGAGGACTCACGCTTCAAAGGTTAATTCTAAACTATTATGTGATCTTTATTTGTATATGCATGAGATCCTATTTAAGTGCGTATGAATGTGATTCATGAAATTCCGCTTAGAGTACCTAAAACCCTACAATATATATATATATATATATATATATATATATATATATATATATATATATATATATATATATATATATATATATATTGAAAGGTACCGTGTATGGCACAAGACTTAACCTTATTAAAAATGAAAAGGAGAGCGATGGATAGCTCAAGTACTTAAAGTTTCCCTCCTAATTTTGGGTGATTCTAGCCTTCTAGGATCGATTCTCAAAATCTCACCCCCGCCGCCCTTGCGAGTTGTTTATGGATCCCTTCATATTAACAATAATAAATTACCTCTTCATATTATTACCCTTCATATTATTTAATAAAAGCAAATAAATATTACTAAAAATAAAAGGGAAGAAATCGTTACCCTTCCTAATTAATCTTGCATTGACAATTAACAATAATAAATTACCCCTTCATATTATTTATGGATCCCCACAATCTTAAAAATTAATCTATCTATATTGCTAGTATCATGTAAGGGGTGATTAATTATTAGAATCATACTAGGTTGTTTCCAATATTTTAATACCACACATTATTTATTTGCTATGTATACATGTTTTTATTGCATGTTCACTGATATTATTTGATCAAAAGCAGCATTTGAATATCACAGCTATAAAGATAATGAAGGACAATTGCTTAGGAACCATAAATCTTGTTAATTAATCAAGTGATCACAATATTAGCTATCTAATGTGCATTAATATTAACCCAACTTGGCAACTTAGCATAATCTAGCTAGTTTGGAGCAATTGAATACTTGTTGTATGTCTTTCTAGTGCAAATGATATATGTTGTATATGAACTTATTAGAGGCCAATATGAGCAAAATTGTATTCCTAAAATCATGATTCGATATCGAACCTTTATTCTCAAATGCTCCATGGTACTTTTTGACTTCATGGAGTTAACAATCTCATGAATTGTGAATGGGGTGCAACCGTTATGAATTAAAAATCGTGGTTACCTTGTCCCTTTTATTAAACCGTTTTACAAATTCTGTAAATTAAAAGACTTAGCTTGTTAGGGGCTCCCTATATTCTCCTTATCCCATTCAATCGACTGCCAAGCACATTTACACGTGTTAAGGTAGGCCTACTCCTACGACGTACGCTTACCTGATCTAGGTACACATACGATAAATATTATAGAGATGAGTTGAAAAATGTATTAGGCTGCATGTTAATGCAAAATGGATGGAAAGGTTATCTAATTTTTCAAGACAACTGAAGTCGTACGAAGCAAATTACCTTACATGCGCATTATCTAACACTAACAACAATTGTCTATGTATTGAAGATTTTGGATGCATTATTTTTATGATGTGAAATGTAGAATGTTAACGGACCATAAGAGTTTGAAGTAATTTTCACGCAAAAAAGACTTGAATATGTGCCAAAGAATATGGTTGGAATTGATTAAGGATAATGACCTTGTTATTCAATAACATGAAGGGAAAGTAAATGTTCGTTATTGCGGAAACTCGTAAAACAAGTCATGGAGTTAATGCATTTGTTGTATATATACATGTGAATTATAGAAATTGTTTAGATAACTACCAATTTATTTGTAAAAGGTACATACCTTAAGTAATTGGATGGGGTATAATTCTCAAGTTCTAATGAAGACAGGTATAATGTTGCAATTAATGGAGCATTAATGATGTTAATTGATGCACTAATACAGGCTATTGATTTTAATAATGATGGGATTGACAATTAAAAATTCATACTAAAAAAAATCGTGACAATATAAGAAAGACATTGAAAACTTCTCTCTCTCGAACTCTCTTGAATGGAATAGGGAGGGGTGATTTCATTAAATAATACTCTACCCGTTCATTTCTACTTCTAACATTTATTCCTTAGATAATAGAGATAAGTGTAATTTAGGAATGGAGGGAGTAATAGTCATTCGACAATTACAATCATCCCTTAAGAGATCTAAATTCTCAATACAAGAATTAAACACATCTAAACTAATGGCTTCGCTTCTAAACTGTTCCTGGATAATTTTAGATGTCTTGGCATCGTTCTTGACGGAGCTCCATTGCTGTATAGTCGCAAAAGTGATAACACTTGATTGGTCATCAAGATCTGCAAATGTGTAAGACGGAACTTCTAAATTTGCACCCCTATACCAATAGACCCGCAAATCCACAAATTTGTATCCTTGCACACTTTTTTTTTGGACAAAAAACACTGCTTAGCACATTTTATTAAAATCACACAAGTTCAGCATCATTACATAAAACCCCCTGAATCTCATGAGGACACTCCTCAAGCCAAACTCAATACTCACTATAACTAAAGCTTAATTTTGCTAAACCGACCTATGGAAAAAAAAAAAAAAAAAAAAAACATTCGGGCAGCCACAAAGCAAGTTGCAGAATATCCCTTACCACACCACCAAAAGCACAAGGA